TAGGTTAATTTAGTATAATTTTGTAGATTTTAATATTTTCCATAATTTAATTAATAAAATTATAAAAAATATTGAGATTTTAAATATTTGCTTGGTAAATCTCTTTTCAGCTTCTAAGTAAAGTTGTAGAGAAATGTCTTGCGATCAAAATGGCAGTTAAAATGTTAAAATCAGCTTAGTAGATTATAAGATACATCTCCTCAGGCACCAACTCATCCCATCCTACTAAGGAGACATGTTTCAACAATTTTTTTCGCAAATACAACCTCTTCTTCTCCCATCACTACAAATACTCAAATTATTCCTCCAGCATCTTTTAAAAATTTATTCCTGCAACTATACAAAATCTCTGTCAATATTATTACACTTGAAACTCATATTTATCTTAATATCACTGATACTATTTTACCTAGTCATATCCCCAATACGATCTTGGATTAATAACTTCCATCGTGCTGCAGCTAAAGTGAGGAATTGTGTCCACCGATTAATAATTGGAGGAACAGGGGCACCAGGTTTCAATACCGTGGCTACATAATAATTTTGATTAACAAAAGCAATTGTAAGTGCTTATTTGTAGTGAGAAGAAGTATAACGGTCTTTTGTAAGCATTTGCTATAGCATTACCCATTTGTGGCATTTTATCTAGTGATCGAACGTGCAAGGGCTGCTCTCCCAAGAAATTTCTTTTAAAATAATATCATAATCATCATTTGCTAGAAACAATGATTGATAAAATGGCTCATTTTCATTTCTTCCTAAGCCCACGGCCACTGCTCTGTATCTGTATTTTCCATCTCCATTAACATTAACTACTTTTTTTATATATTTATACATAAAAATAGGTATCTGATCATAAAATAAGGGTTGCTTATTTGCTACCCATGCCATTGCTATTTGATACGTGCTAAGAGCTTTAGTATTACTAATATTACTTATACCAACTGCATTAGTTAAGCCAATAAATAATAGTTGACTACAAACACTATTATCAATCAATACATCTATTTTCTAAATTTAAGTATATATCTTGTATTGTATTTAATAGATCTCACTTAAATCTATGCACTATTATTTACTTTCTGTGTCTGTTTTGCTAGTTGAACCATTTATTAAGAGAAATTTAGCTATCTACCACAAATCACCCATTTGATCTTCTTACCCCTCCTCTTGTTATCTCAACCTTACCATAGCAACTCACAATATCAGAGGTTTTAATATAGCCTCTAAGAGACAGATCTGGCAAGATTATTGTATTAACTATAACATTTCTATTGCTTCCCTTACAAAACCAAAATTTTTCATAAAACCAAACTTTCTTTTTGTAATAACAACCTTTACACCTTTTACTGGTCTAACTCTAATAGTTCTATTGAAGAGACTGCTATCATGATCCAAAACTATCTAAAACCTCATGTTCATAGCTGCCATACACACCCTGGAGGTGCCCTTGCACTCGACCTTTTCTTTAAAAGCAACATCAAACTACGTATTATATCTGTTTACCTCTCTTTCACCAACTCTACCAAGAGAAATCTTACTCAAAACACTATCATTAACTGGATACTCCAAACTAAACAACAAAATTTACACCCCATCATTCTTGGTGATTTTAATATTCATGATGATACTAGCAGCTCATCTACCAAATACAAACTTATTAACTTTCTTCACCACTCAAATATGTTTGATATTGGTGCCCATCTTAATAACTCTAATCACACTTGGTCTAACAATATCAACTCTAGCCACATTGATTACATCTGGACAGATTCCTTCAATCTACAATTCCTTCTTAACTTTCATCTCCATAATAGCAAAACTAACATCCTTAGTGATCACCTAATCCTTACATCTTTCTAGACATTTCCTCATGCTTTTAGCAAACCTCCTTGCTTTTACACTAATATTAGCCACAGAATCTTTGACTACAAATCAACTTCACTAGATAAATGGACCCAATTCTCTGATCTTGTCAGCAACCTGTTCACCTAGCAACATGTTCCTCTACATATTCATACACCTGAGAGTATCGACACTACATGGCATTAAATACAATACTATATTCTGTGTGCTGCCACCCAAACCCTCCCCAACAAAATAACTCGCAAGCGTAGTTATAATCACAAATATAGCCCACAGTGTACTGCCCTTCACATTGGCCTCAAAAAACTAGGACACTTAATCAAAATTATTATATCTGACTCCTCTTACAAGTACCTACCCCATATCAACTCTCTTATTCTCATTATCAACTCCTATACTTATAGCAACCTCCAAACTCTCAATTCCTTGGACAACCCATCACTACATATATGGTTACAACATGCATATGATAATTAGAAACAAATATCTCAAGCATACTATATTGAACATTCTCTTCAACTCAGACATCAAATTAATGAGGCATCAGAGAAAAGATGCAAAACTTTAATCTCTAAACCCAAACAAGCTATT